CACACACACACACAGCAGAGCTCATGCCCTCCAGCGGGGTACAGCAGGGGGACACACACACTCACACCCACACACTCACACCCACACCCACCAAGCAGGGCTCATCCCTTGCAACCGGGGATGGCAGTGACACGCACACACACAGCACACGGGCTCACAAGCGCGCACACAGACACACACAGCAGAGCTCATGCCCTCCAGCGGGGTACAGCAGGGACACACACACACACAGTCAGAAAGAGCAGGGCTCATCCCCCGCAGCAAGGGGGACACCCACACCCACACACTCACACCTGCACACTAGGGTGACCAGATAAGTGTGAAAAATTGGGACAGGGTGGGGGGTAATAGGCACCTATATAAGAAAAAGCCCGAAATATTGGGACTGTCCCTATAAAATCAGGACATCTGGTCACCCTACAGCACACTCACACACACACACACACACCGAGCAGGGCTCATCCCCTGCAACTGGGGACGCCAGTGACATGCACACACACAGCACACAGCTCAGCCCCTCCAGCAGGGACACACACACACACACACAGAGAGCAGGGCTCATCTCTTCCAGCAGGGGGCGGCAGGGACATACATGTACTGCACTGTATGTAACGCACTCTGTGTGTGTCCCTGCTGCCCCCTGCTGGAGGGACCAGCTCTGCTGTATGTGTGTGTGTGTGTGTCCCTGCTGCTGGAGGGTCTGAGCCATGTGCTGTGTGTGTCTGTGTGTGTGTATGTATCCCTGCTGCCCTCTGCTGGAGGGGATGAGCCCTGCTCTGTGTGTGTGTGTGTGTTTCTGTTGTGCGCCGAACTCCACGCTCACTGCACCCCAGCTGCCCTCTCTGCCCCATGGCAGCCCCTCACCCCCTGTTGTTTCCAGGCTGGAATTTGAGCAGCAGCTGGACGAGCTGATGGAGACGCACAAGAGCCTCCAGGAGTGCCACGTAAGAGCCACTGGGGTCCCCCGGGCTGTTCCTGGGCCAGGTGGGTGGGGGTGGGGTCCAAGGGAGACACAACCCTACTGGGAGGGGACCTGGGCATGTGTGGGAGGGAGTGGGTTAGAGCAGGCAGTCTGACTGGGAGCCGGGATTCCTGGCTTTGAGGGGGGCTGGGAGCCATCTGGGAGGGGAGTGGGATCTGGGGGGGCTGGGAGCCAGGGCAGGGGCTGAGGACACTCGGTGCTAGCAGAAGCCAAGGATGTCCACGGTGTTTCGCTGTGGCAGCATTAGGGGTAGGGCCCTGATATAAGGCCTGCGGGGGCAGGGGAACTACCCTTTAGCTGGTACAAGCTGCGTCTCCCCTCGGAGACCAGGCTTTGGTCTGGGGCGAGACCTGTCCGTGGGGGGTTAGTGTGAGGGAAGCCCCTGGACGCCCCCACCCCAGACACTTCCTCCTCCCCATGGCAGCGTGCTCTGTGGTGAATTCCCTCCGCCTCCTCCTAGAGCATGGAGAAGCTGGCTGCCGAGATCTGCAGCATGGCCGAGAGCAAGGAACGTTTGCTGAGCGAAGGTGATGAATCTCTCTGGGCCTCAGTTCCCAGCTGTAAAACGGGCAGAATAATCCTCCCTTGGGGCTGTCTTGTTTATTTGGAGTGCAGACGCTTGGGGGCAGGGACCATCTCTC